GCTTTAACATGTAAATGACAATGCTGTGAGCTATACAAATGCTAATCAACAAGTTCTAGTGTTAAGATGTGCGAGGCGAGCCTGGCCTGACTGCGCTCTCCTCCTCCTAAAAAAAGATTAGAACGCAACAGTTTAGTTAATAATGTGTGTATAAAAATAAAAAATATTGAAATTATGACTTTAAACAAAAAGTAGTCTTCTGTTCTCTAGATGTTACAGACAAGGCCCGCATCCTCCACCACCTGAAGAAGATGACAAAGTCTGGGATCGCGTCTTAAATTCAGACAGAAGACATGTTTTATTGTCGATGGTAGAGACAGCACGAACAACAAAATGCAAGTGTATTATACAGAGCGGAGGCATGGAGACCTCCAATCAGCAGCTTCCACGGTGCCATGTAGCTTGGCCTTCAGATAGACAAAACAAGGGAAAAGTACAGGCTTCTGCACATTGATAGAATGATGAGTTTAACTTTAACAAAAGTTGTTTAAAAGTGTTATGAAATCTCACATTCCCCCCTCTGGTCACACATTCACCTGTGACCATCAGGATCGATAAACAGCAACATAACATCATAACTCAATACTTTAAAAACTCAAACTCGGTACTTCACTCGGTACTTCAAAAAACTCAGAACTCGGAATACTTCAAAAACTCAGAAAACTCATAAAACATGTTCAGATCTTTCATAAAACTTGTCAACAATCTTCAGTAAAATACCAAACTTCATCAGTCGATGTGGTTCCAGATATTGCTTTGAAAACAGTCTCTCCCACTTCTCTGTTGGTTTCTTCAGGCTGCATTTGTGTCGAGCCATGAATTCTTCTGTGACGTGTCTTTCAATCACACGTTTCAGCTTCAGTGTCCAGATTCAGCAATTCAATTCAGTCCAAATTATGTCCAAATTGTGTAATCCAATTGTTCCAAATGATGTCCATGCAAAAGAGGACGATGGTGTTGTCCATGTCTCAGCAGCTCACAGCCGGAGTGGAATCAGGGGCTGTGCAGATTGTCCAAGTGTGCTGGTCCAGACGCATGGTTTCTCTTGAGGTTTCTCAGTTTTGGCTTTAAAAAAAAAAACACATTTTTGTGTAAAAAAAAAGTAGTCTTCTGTTCTCTAGATGTTACAGACAATGCCCGCATTCTCCACCACCTGAAGAAGATGACAAAGTCTGGGATCGCGTCTTAAATTCAGACAGAAGACATGTTTTATTGTCGATGGTAGAGACAGCACGAACAACAGATACAACAGAATACAAGTGTATTATACAGAGCGGAGGCATGGAGACCTCCAATCAGCAGCTTCCACGTTGTGCTTGTAGCTTGGCCTTCAGATAGACAAAACAAGGGAAAAGTACTGGCTTCTGCACATTGATAGAATGATGAGTTTAACTTTAACAAAAGTTGCTTAATACCATAGATGATACACACTATGCTAGGTTGGCTGCTAACATTTGCATGTATTGATTTGCAAATTTAGGTAATGACTTATAACAGCAGGGGCCTGGGGTGGCCTTTGTTTATTCGTGCGGGGGAGGGAGAGCTCCAAGAGAGTACTACAGTAGTCCACAGATACAGTACACATGTGGACAATGCAGAAGAGATGCCATGGCAGTGTGTCCCCTGAGAATGCACAGTATATATTTTGTAATCAGTTTGTGCATTTCTCAGAACAATTAGTGCAATCGGCAAAACCTCATGGATAACTTGCTAAAAAGTCACTTCCTCAAAATGAAAACTTAATTCCTCAAAAGAAAGTCTTCATGTCAATGAAACGGTCTGTGTCTGTGTCCTGACATCAGTGTTTATGAACAACAGTCAAATGATTTAGTCATGTTTTCATTGTGACTGTATTTAGTGAGATATATATGTATGTACTGTATGTCTTTCACATATTTACTGCATATGCTCTTTGCAATTCTACAGCCTTGTGCAACAAAAATAGCACACATACAGTATTTACGTAGAACAAACATACATAACTCAATACTTAAACTCGGTACTTCACTCGGTACTTAAAAAACTCAGAAAACTCATTAAAACATTTTCAGATCTTTCATAAAACTTGTCAACAATCTTCAGTAAAATACCAAACTTCATCAGTCAATGGTTCTCAGATATTGCTTTGAAAACAGTCTCTCCCACTTCTCCGTGTTGATTTCTTCAGGCTGCATTTGTGTCAAGCCATGAATTCTTCTGTGACGTGTCTTTCAATCGCACGTTTCAGCTTTAGTGTCCAGATTCAGTAATTCAATTCAGTCCAAATTATGTCCAAATTCAGAAATCCAGATTGTTCCAAATGATGTCCAAATTCAGAAATCCAGATTGTTCCAAATGATGTCCAAATTTTGTAATCCAATTGTTCCAAGCTGTTTGAGTCAAATAACGTTCAGCGTTATATTACCAATAGTTTCTCTTTCCATAACGATATTCTCTCTTTTTGGAAAGATCACCAACGTGATGCAAAAGTTTACGTTATACACTGAAAAAAATCGTGATTAACATTTACTTAAAAAAATCCTCGTAAGTATTTGCACGAAGATATAATTAAAGATTACTACTATAAATCAAGTAAAACTTTTTATTTCATCAAGTATAATCTGAATGTTATTTGTAAGTAAACCTTACTTAACAAATGTGATTTTTTTTACTTGATCACATAAAATAATCAAGTAAGGTTTATGTGATTTTTTTTAGGTTATTTATGTGTGAAATAGATATACTGAGTAACCATTATGTGTACAGATCATTTACAATAATGGATAACTTGAATAAATGTTATTTATATTTTATCAGTATATTTCATATCATTGCAATAATACTTATTAAGTACTATATGTGTGAAACAATTACATTATTATTGAATTAATAAGAAAAAACAATATGCAAATATCAACATTTAACAACCTGTTTTATTGACAAACTTTTAAGTTCACACATCAACAATGAAAACTAAAAGATGAACTAAAGCTGACCTTAAAAGCAGAACACATGACAACAGAAAACTTAATTATCACAAAAAGGATGCAATGGGAATGGTATAGAGATAGGCCATTGATTTTCTATAATTAAATGTCATTAGCTTAGATGAGATGATGCACCTGCCTGGTCTTTGAGCCTCTGTTCAGCTAAAGACCAGGATGTTGTAGCATTAGACTCTCGCAGTAAATCTCAATGGCTCCAGACCGAGGTAATTTTAGAAGTGGCCGAGCTCTTTCACATTTTCCCTAATTAAAACACTGTTACATGAGGAGTTACTAGATTCAAGAATAGTCAATTAATTTAACATGTCCATGTTTTAATGACTAATTTTCATATTCTAGTCTAAGCTAGAGTCTAAGCTAAAGTAACAACATCAAATTATATAAAATCTGTGGCCTTTTCTCTTATGCTGAACAAAATTGCTTCTCTTATGTTTTGGACAGTAGCTTGACTTTCAGTGTTTGTATTTTCGGGGATGGCTTAAATGCATCTAAATGTAAGAAAATCTTCTGAAATACTTCGAAGGTGTATCGTAGTGTTGTAGGATAAGCAAGATTGAGGGAATATATTAGACCCATTAGCAGTGCACATGCCTTTGCAGTATTTCCACATCCAGTCACAATCTCCTTGCTGTCGAGAACAATAGAGACATCCACAGGTTCTTCATCAGAGGAAGAACAAACGACCAGGATCTTCATTTTGTGCCGGTGTTCTGCCGAGTTGTAACGCTCTGCCAAAAAGTGACGCTTATGTAATGCTCAGCTGTTAATGATGTAATGCAAACCTGCGCGCATGCGCGTCTCACGGCAGCCGAAACAAACCAAGATGGCGGACAGAAAGTCCGTGAATTCCTTTAAAAGTTATAATACGAACGAAATAAGACACGAATGTCACTTTTAATGCAATTTGAGGCGAGATGTTGATGGTTCCGTGTTGGCACATGTGGGTTTAAGAGTCAAACTTTCGGGTAAAGTTTAGTTTAAGCAGTCAACTGCACCTATGAAACCACTATGCTTATGTTATGATAGCAGTCCTGGCAGCTGACGTAGGCTGATGAAGCGTCCTGTGGCAACTCTACAGCTTACAACTGGATGAATGTTGATAATGGAAATAATAAATTTAATTTAATGCAGCGATCACCTGCAGCAGCACAGCTTGTGGACTGCACACTTTTCTGTCAGTTCAGTTAATAATTTTCATGGGATGAATTCGAAGTTGCAAAAAAAAAAATATGGCCATTTGGATATATAGTGCAACTTTTACTGTCAAGACTCTGCTGCAGCTGATCCATGACAACAACCACAGGATTATTATCACCAGTAACCACAGAGATTACATGCCATGGCCATGTTGTCCTTTGAAATGTAATTCATTCGTGGATTGATGAATTTTGACTAGTTTCCCAGATGAAAGATCGGGTGCATCCTTTCTATTAAAGAAATGAACAACACTGGTGAGTAACATTTAAATTGGAACCAATCAAAGGTTTTTTTATGGGTTTTATGTTAGGTTGTGCATAAAAAATGGGCTGTGGTATTGAATTGAATTTGTGTAGATTTTCCTGCTGAAGGATGTAAAGTTCCCGCATTGATGTCAAGCTTTAAATACAAGAGAAAACACGTTTGTAGTTTTTTTGTGTGGATCAATCAAGTCTGTAGGCTGTAAACTAAGTGTATTTTTAGAAATGTAGGAATTGTATTGACTTTGATTGGTTAGGCCCAACCAGGGACAGGAGTTGTGAATTGGCATCTGCTATAAACTACATTCATCACATCAGCTGCAAGCTTTGTTTATGACTGTGTCTGCATTGTCCCTGTCAAATAAATATATTGATAATGTTGAAAGAGCGTGGAGACTTCATTTTCAGAAATCAATTCATTTGCAGGTGCAAATGGTCTCGTCGTCACACCATGAAACAGACAAAGGGACAAAACATTTCAGTACACTACGCAAACAGCAAATTACAATAATTAACATACGTGTCCAATTCCACAGGAGTCTCAGATTTGTGGAGTTGGTTAGCTGGTGCTCGGGACGACTGGGAGCCAGGTCATTCCTGCATGTGATGTGCTCAGGATACGCGAAGAGTTCACAGATCCTGAAGGCCAGTGCGTTGGCTTTCTGTCCTGGTCAGCCTCTGTAATAATATATTATTAAGTTATTGTACTGTAATGTTTGTACAGTATTATTTCTTTACCAAGTGTTGGCTTTGCTGTTTGCTTTCCTTTGTTGTACTTTGGGTTGGAACTTTGAATAAAGACTGCCCCTTTGAAGAATCTTGCCCACGTTTGACATTTTCATTCAAGTGCATTCCTGCCCAAAAAAGCCTGCAAAAAAAAGTTTCAATGTTAACAGGATTTGTATTCTTAATTATTACAAAGAATAACGCTTCAGCTGTGATGTCTGGTGCTCGGAGACGGGTTTCTGCACATCTTTAGGCAATCAGTTGTTCATTTAGCTCTTCTTTGTACAATGGGGCATACCCTGAGAAAACAATGAATTTGGTTACAAGAGAAATGTTTTGACTTGCGTGTGACAATCAGTGACACTATAGTCCGCTTCAAGACTTTTTCCATGTAAAAACTCCCTCCTACCTCATTGCTCTAAGGAAACACAAAAGTTTTAATTTATAATGAAAATACAATAAATTGTAATATTTACTACTAGACATACCTGTTCTGTTTGTATGTCAAGCGCCTTCTCACTCTCAAGTTCCATTGGTGTGTAGCTGTCACATTTGGCAGTGTCCTAAAAGCATTGGAAAAACGTTAGATGCAAAGTAACAAATATTACTGACATTACTATCCCTACCTGGTGAATCTGCTATTTTTCCCTTCTTCAAATCCTCCAAAAGCTTTGATTGGTGGGTCAAGAAAGTGCCATGATTGTCTCCTAAATAAAATAAGGTATAATTTGTCCCACAGTGGGAAAATGTGATTGTTACAGTATTTACTTACTACTTATTTACAGACGAGATGACATGTACAGGCTCAGCAGTTCTCACAGTACAGTCTGACAGCGGCAGGAAGGAAAGACCTGTGCAACCTCTTCTTCACACATAGAGGATGAATAGCTCTCACTGAAGCTGCTCTCCAGAGCAGAGTGTCCTGCAGGGGGTGACAGTCATGGTCCCCCACCTGCTGCACTGGGAACAGCCCATGACTGAGCTGAACTTACTGATGACCTTGTCCAGCTTCTTCCCCCTCTGTGTAACCCAACAATTGAACGAATGGAACTTACAGGATAATCTACAGGCACCTCTGAGGGGAACACAGCCTCCCGCCCATACATCAACTGGAATGGGGTGTGTTTGGTTGAGATGTGCACCTTTGACCTCAAAGAGAACAGTGTGGCATCAAGGAATGTGTCCCAGTTGTTCTGCTGCTCATTCACCAACTTCATCAAAGCTCTGAGAAAGACATTCCGAACATTGTTTAAATGGGGAAATTAAAACATGTAGGGTTTGCCATCAGTCATATATTTAATGTGTGCTTCACATGATTAAATTATACATATCTTTCTTGCCTCTTGATGTTGTGGTTGGTCTTTTCGTCCAACCCATTAGTCTGTGGGTGGTACGCAGCGGTGACGCTTCTCTCAATGCCCAGCAGAGAGCACAGAGAATCATTGAGCTAAAACAATGAAATTCACCTCATAAATGAATAAGAAATCCGTATGAACAAAAAAAAGTAACAACTACAAAAAGCAATATTCACCTCATTTACAAAATCCCGCCCTTGTAGTTTTGGGAAGGGCCCAGTTAGGTCAATCCCCAGCAGCTCCCAAATCAGCAGACACCTAACATGCCAACAGGATTGTAATGCATAAATTGTACATTGGTGGTTGAATAGTAACAATACAATTACCATTTATTGTTTGGAGTGGTGCAACTGTACCCAGAGTCTTTCCCTTCACGTTGACATTGGTCCACACTCAGCAATCTTAAAACGAACAGGCTTTAGGGAAGGGAATTGTACAGACAAATAATATCACATAACCCAATTGTCAATCATCACAGTCATGCCACGCCAGTAAAACCTGGAACAAATGGCATGTCGGGTTTTTTTCATCCCAGTGTGGCCTCCCATGGGCGTAGCATGAAACTCTTGAAATAGTTTCTGCGCCTCATGTCTGGTTTTAATGGCTCTTCTTTTGCCGATAGAACAGCTTCACCATCTATAAAAAATAATTTATATGAAAACAACAGAAGAAGAATAAGACATGTATAACCATACTAGCAATGGCATTATTACCCTTTACTGTAAACTTAAGGGAGTACTTCCTCCAGTTTGTACTCTTTGAAAATTTATTCATTCCCTCAGGATAAATGTTCTCTGTGAGGAGGAGAAACATTTCATCCCATTTATGCCTCCATTTTGATTATTAATCAAAAGTAGATGTAAATGAGGAAGTGAACCAAAAAGTGCAAGGATGGGTCTGGGGAGAGAAAAGAGAAAACGTTGTTACAATGACTAACAAATAATAACATCAAAAACAGATCAAAACCCACACTAAAATATCTTACTTGAAAAATGATGGAAATCTCTGAATTTGTATAAGTATTGAATTCCTTTCACCATTAGATATCGAAAGATAAAGGCTCAAGGATGGGTCTGGGGAGAAAAGGGAAGACGTTGTTAAATGACTACCAAGTAATAATCGTCAAATACTGTTTGACAAAAAACCCACACAAAATTATCATATTTAAATTATGGAAATCTCTGACTTTGTATTGGTATTAAATTACTTTCACCATTAGAAATCAAGAGATAAGACCATATGTAAAATTATTAATAATGAGGCTACATGCATGAGAACCCACACACATAAATGAAAAGTAATTTCTCTTTTCTACTAGTACAACAATAATGTTAACTATCTTTCCACGAGCAAATATGAGAAACTTAATAATTTCTGGAGGGATTATGACCTCGTATTCACTTCATGCATTACGCGTGTACGTAACATTTTCCCCATAATCTAATTTCGAACCATTATCTTAGGATTAGTTATGAACCAATACTGGTAGCCGGAATAGCGGTTGACCTTATAAGGAAATTAGCGGTCAAGGAGGAGGAGGGGGCGATGCCACCGATGGTGGGAGGAGCCTGTTCGTGGGTATAAGGGAAGGGACGCGAGAGGGGTTGGTCATTCTTCTCTGGAAGAAACCACCTGCCGCGCTGTACCAATCTCTTCATCCACGGACGGCTCTAAGAACCATGGCTGGCTTCACCAACTTCACCCTGGGACTTAGCTGTCCATCCTCGGTAATTATGACTGAATCATGGCAGCTAATCTCCCTGGGAATTCTAATCCTCCTTCTGACTTTGTTACCTAGAGAGAAGAATGTAGGCTGGATTAAGGTGGCAGTGACCTCCGCGTTAGTCATAGGAACGGGAGTGGTGAGATTGATGTATTTATGCATCAGTCCCATTCACACCCAGATAGTATTGGCGTTTCTGGCTCATCTGCCACTACCGATTAACACTAATCGGTGGTGGATGATGTTGCTTTCAATTTATGCTCTCGGTACGGTTTACACAGCACTTCTAGAACGACTTGTAGATCAAGCCTTGCACAGTGCCTTGGCTGCAGAGCTTGTAGGGCTGGGAATATACTTAATTTTAGGTCTGATAGCGCTTTTCTGGTTTTTCCTGCAATTGAAAGGAAAGAACAGAAGGGCTTGTCTAAATTTAGGGGCTCAATGGCTGATCACACTGGCGTTAACGGCAGTGATGGTCGGCTGTGGAATATCAACTCACCCTATCATGTATGGATATGTAGGGTATATAGTGGGAGTGGCCTATAGAAGGGTCCTGTTTCCACTTAATAGACAGCTTTCCGGCAGCCTTAGGTTGACTACGCCTAGGCGCGAGTCTTCAAGCGTATAGAAATTGAAGATTAATAAATAAATAAATAGATAAAAGGAAAAATAATAATAGGAATAGAATCCCCGGGGAAACGAGAGATAGGGTAGGGTTTGGAAACATGACTAATTATATCCAAATTGACCTTACAGATGGGGAAACGAATCTCCACTCTCACCTTTGATAACATCCCCAAGGGAACAAGAGTTAGTAGACAGCCAACAGAACAAATGTATTGGCTGGATATAGATATCAAACCATCTCATTTGGGGAAAAGGGTTCGATTGGAGAGCCATCCGACCGGAGCTTTCTCCTCTACAATGAGAGCGCAAATTGAAAAGAAGTACCAAAAGTGGGTTAATATCAAGCCACATAGCTCCAGGAAGGCTATTGCATTGATGCAGGAGGAACCTGTTCTTTGCAATAGGCTTCAGAAGGAGACATTTAAAGGTACCTTTGTGCAAACCAAGGGTATCATTGTAGAAACTAAGAAGGGGCTCAAATGTGTAGTTATGAGCCTAGATAGTAAGGGCCTGCCATACTCATTAGTGGAGCGTGACCTACATTGGCATCCTGGTCACATTGGCTTGACAGTGATTAAGGAGGGCCAAAGCCTTATACGCAAGGATCTGCTGGGCGTAGCCATGGTGGAGTTGGTGGAGCTGAGACTGATGGACTGGAAGACGAAGGAGCCATTCACGCTGAAAGGACAACGCATCTTCACGGCGCATGAGTTTCCAAGCTGCTCCTTTGCTGACCTGGAGCACGAAGGCGGTAACATCGGTCGTGCTCTGCAGGGACCAATCCGGCGGTGCAGCATGACCAGAGGATCGGACTGCACCGTGAAGCTGAGGCCTGTGATGGTGCACGGGCAGTTGGTGTGCTTGCCCTCTGTCATTACAAGCAAGGTGGGACTGCCTTGGTCTGAGGGCCCACTTGATTACCAGGGCAGAGGTAGACCGGCGTGGAGAGACCACATCACTGCGGGCGGAACCAACCCCTACAACGGGCACCTGATCATCACTACTGCCAGGAGAGCTGAGGAGCTGTCGGCCCTAGGGGACGCCCATGCTAGGGCAGGCCCCCCACTAGTCAAGACTGAACCTGTGGAGCATGCAATCGAACTGAGGAGAGCCAGGTCTATCGAGCGAGCCACAGACCCGAGGAGAGCCGCTCGTAAATGGGAGGCAACGCTCAAGAAGAATAGGGGCTCCCCTCATACTGCCCCTGCTGGGAGGTCAGGAGACCTCCACGGGTTCATCTCTACTAAGGAGCCAAGGGGATCCCGCCATCCGATTAGCGATGTTAAGCCAAGACTTCAACGAAAGTCCGCAGTCAAGAAGCCGAGGGACTGTGACGGTATCCATGGAAACTTGGGTAAAGAACTTCTCCGGATGCTTGCTGCTGAGGGACGGCATGGACCAGGGCGCGTCTACCCCGAGAGGAGCCCAAGGGATTCGTCTTATCCCTTTGCTGATAAAAAGGCCAGGGGCTATCCTTACCCCGCCCCTGCTAAGAGGGTGAGGCATGATTCCATGGACATTTCAATGAACTTTGAGAGGCAGGTTTCAGTTGTCCAGCCAATGCCTAAGCTGGATGAAGAACCTCACCTTAACTTCCGAGGCCCGGTTCCATCGCCAACACCTCCGATCCCTGAGCCTCTGAGCCCATCGCCCTGGTGTGCTCCAATAGAAGATGAGGTGTCCCCTGATGTGGTTATGGCATTTCCTGAACCTGAGGCTATGAACGTTACGGTGCTTGAGTCTGAGGTCCCAATGGTAGCCGATGCTGTGGCCCCCCCTGAATCCGGGGAACCAATACCTGTGCAGTCCACTGACCTCATACCCTCCTATGGCTATGAGGACTTCATGAGGGAGTTTAACCGGCTGCTGGAGGAAGAGTGCCCGGAATTAACTCTGCCGGAGCCTGTAGCTTACGGATCGAAGCGGCTCCCTGAGGACTCTGAGTAGTGGACGTTATGTGATTTTCCTTAAGTTTCAAAAGGAGGATGTAATACAAAATATGATTTTGTGATGTAATACAAAATAACATTTTATAATCATGTGTGAAACGTAAGGAAAATGCGTTAAATAGTGATCTTGATGGTCAGTAATGTGATTTAATAAAATGTAATGTGATTTAATGTGATTTATGTAACATTATGCTAACTAGATTAAAGTTCATTTAAGTGTGTTAAAGTTCACGGCAAGGAAAGATCATATATGCTTAAGAACTGGGCCAAAGTTCAAATAACTGGGTAAAAGTTCATTTCTCTGCGCAGCCTCGGTGCTAAACTGGAGGAAAGTTCAAATAACTGGGTAAAAGTTCATTTCTCTGCGCAGCCTCTGTGCTATCTAGGGGAAAGTTCAAATAACTGGGGGACAGTTCATACGAGCAGGAGGACCAAATATGTACATCCTTCCTGCCATGACCATATATGCATTTCCTTCCTTGCCCATATATGTACATGTACTTCCTGAATGAGGTCATCCTTAATGCTAAGGGGGCTTTCCGCTGCTCGAAGGCTGCATGCGCTATAAAAAGGAAGACTCCGAGAGAGTCAGACAGTCGGGCAGCGCGCAGCGCAGACGAGAGCAGCCGGAGGCTTTCATTCAGGGGTCCTTGTGAGAGTGACTTGTGTTGCGAGACCTTTGTAACTCTGTAAACTTGGATTGACGATTTGCTTGCTTGGCTTTGAATAAAAGAGTCGCCCCGACTCACGAAAGACAACTCGCCGACTCCGCTTCACACTTTCTGAAAACCTTCCTTGAAGAACGCTTGGACAGGGCAGGGCGGCCCTAGGCTAAAGGTGAGTAGTAAAAGTAGACTGATTTTGGTATATCGCACCTAGAGCTTCTGCTTCTCTACGGATTAGCCACACCAAGGGGAAAAACGTTAGGCAGGGACAAAAACTTAGCTAGCCTTAGACCCAGCACGAGGCAGGTCGGGACTAGCGCTACCGAAAGCCAGGCCCTACTAGGGAGTCTGCGTTATAGAGCAAGGTAAAGGCGCCTTCAAGGGTTAGATCCTGAAGAGACGCTGGTTCCTCACTCGCTCCGATTACATATATGTTGTCTGTTATGCTCTTACTTTGAAAAAGCATTCAAAAGCAACACATATACATTCACATGCACGGCTTGAACACACAGCCAATTTTACACATTTCCTTTTGACAAGGAAAGAAGATAACAATCTGATAACGTTACGTAATTGCACACAAGCAACCAAAATTGCCTCAGACAAGAATCGAACCTGGGTTTTCCAGGTCCCAGTCTTTAATGCTAACCATTCGGCCAACATAGAATCTCTGGGTTAGACAGGTTTGCACGCAGTATGATACCTGAGCGTCTAAGTCGCTGGCAGAGCTAAAGCGGACTTAACCTGCCACCTTGTGGCGATAAGATGTAATATTTTTCACGCAGCTGCGTGATTCCCGAAAAGTGTGAATGAAGACGACAAAACTAAATGGGACCTACTGTATGAGAAATAAGCAGTTAAATAGGTTGTGCCGACGATATAGAATTTTAATTCAGTTGGAGGGAAGGTGCCAATACCATTTCATTAAAATTAATATATTTTTGTACAGTTCTAATTTACATCGGCTGTCGTCTCGGTTGATTTGCCAACAACAGATCGAGCAACTAACTCTATGGGAAAGAACAGAAAAATTAACTCTGAATGAAGACTAGAAATCTGACACTTACCATAGTCACCAGGAAAATGTTTGCTGTTGCCTGCCACCACAATGGTAAACTATAGGCTGTATGGACGGTTGTAATGTCACATGAACACCGCCTATAGAAACCTCAAGAAAACTAGTGTATCTTTTCTAAAACATCAAAACTTTCATGAAGATTTCTGGCAACTGACTGAAATCTTGTCGAAATCTCGTCTTCCCTGTCTGACCTTTGTCTCTTGTTCAATAAGCTCTGTATGGATCATTGACAATCTAGGCAAACGTCCACAGCCACATCTGCAGCTCTTCATCTCCTTCACTCTACAATCACTATATTTCCTATTCCCCTTAGGCGCCAAATGATCATCTAGTTTGCACTGCTAGCTCCGATCGCCCCATCTCTTTGACCTTGTCCTATTTCTGGGAGACTTTCACTTTCTCCTGTCGTTTCCTCTGGCTAATTCCTTCCTGGATGCCACAGCTCGTACACCAGCGTAGCGTGTAATAATTGACACGCACCACTTGTTTCAAAACAGTGAGCCAGAAAAGTAAAGTTTAATTGTAAATAACAATATGAATTTTTTATCAGCTACACGTCGATTGGAAATTCAGTGTGGCGCTTGACAGATGTCGGGCAAAAACACATACGCAGGTG